TAAGTAAAAAATTAGTGTTATTTTCAAATATGAGTTCTGTCATGGAACCAATGCTGTTCAGACAGCTCAAAATATATCATCGAAATGTTTGGGAAGGATGTGGCTAATGAACACACAGTACATTGATAGTTTGAGAAGTTCCATTCTGGTGATTTTAATCTTGAAAATGAGCCATGTGGGGTACCTAAGACCAAGATGGATAATGATGAGCTGAAAGCTGTAGTGGAAGCGAATCCATCTCGACCTACACATGAATTAGCAGCAAGGTTTGACGTTACTATTCCAACAATATTGGACCATTTGAAACAAATCAGCATGGTAAACAAGGTGGATAGATGGGTTCCTCATGAATTAAATGAGTGTCAGAAGAGAATATCACCTCAAAGTTTGCCTTTCTTTGCTGCCACAACATAAAGGCAAACCATTTCTATATCGTATTGTTACGTATGATGAAAAATGGGTTCTTTTTGACAATCACAAGCATTCAGCACAATGGTTGGATAAAAACCAAGTGCAGAAACATGGTCCGAAACTGAATATTCATCAAAAAAAAGCTAATAGTGTCTGTTTGGTGGTCTAGCACTGGTATTATCCACTACGGCTTCATGAAACCTGGTCAATCTATTACAGTGAATGTCTCCAGCAACCCACTGGACAAAATGATCAGGATGTTCACAATGAAGCAGCTGAGATTGGTCAATAGAGACAGGCCAATTCTCTCGAGAGACAATGCTCAATTACATGTCACACAAACAACGCTGCTCAAACTACAGAGGCTGGACTTGGAAACTCTTTGTCATCCACCGTATTAACCAGACTTTGTATCGACTGTCACTCCTTCCAGGCTTTGGACCACTTCTTGCAAGGAAAAATATTCAATTCTCAACAAGCTGTGGAAAATGCCTTTTGCGATTTCATCACCACTCTCTCTCCAGGCTTCGATGCTGGCATAAACAAGCTATAGTTAAGATGGCAATACTGTGTTGACAGTTTAGGCACATACTTTGATTAAATGTACTGCTTCTTGCTTGAGATATAGTAAACTAAACTTTTGATTAAAAATCGGACATTTCATATTTAATGACCTAATATCTGGTCCCAAAGGCAATAATAGCACCTAAGTTGACAAATCCCAGTCTATGGAAACTCAAGAGTATTCTTTTTTTCTATTTCTTCCTACAATATAGTATTTTCTTATCTCTAAAAAGATTTGAACCCCATGTTTTAATTTGTCTTAGTGTAAAAGAACTTCCTTAAAGAATAAGAATTTTGTGTCAGAAACCAAAAATAGAAAATGCATTTGAACTGGCACAATATTTTAATATTATAAATCTAACCAGAATGCAGATTCCTTCTGGAAGCCCTTGAAAGATTCTGATTCAGTTTCAAAGATTCCTGGCAAAAAGAGACCACACACCTTCTCCTCTGAGGTCCTCAGACTGTGGCTGATCATTTGAGAAGCCACACTCTTCAAAGTCAATTAATGGGGCTCTCCTGAGAAGGGTAGGGAAGAGCTGGAATGATGGTCAGGTCCCTAAGCCAATGAGCCACTCTTAATTGTTCCCCACTTCATTCAGGAAATGTCCCAACTTTCACACGCATGCAATACAGCCTGAGAAAAATGGGCCTACTCTTTCCCATTGCTCTTTTATGACCATATTGCTACTTTCAATTTATGCCCTTCAGTTTACAAGTTCAGTTTCCAGGAGGTTTTCTTTTCCCTACACAGACCAGATGGTTTATTACCCAGACCATCCAGGTTAGACCATCTAACCCATTGCAGGGGAGGGGTATTGGTCACTGTCCCCTTACTGAAGCCAGCTTTTCGCCAAGGGCTTGTTTTGCTACACAAACTCACACATTTTCTTCTCTCCTCCCCTCCACTTTCCATTTTAACAAAATACCGATTGAGGCCGGGCGTGGTGGTCACGCTGTATCCTAGCACTCTGGGAGCCGAGGCGGGCGATTGCTCAATTCATGGGAGTTCTGAACCAGCCTGAGCGAGACCCCGTCTCTACCAAAATAGAAAGAAATTAATTGACCAACTAAAATATATATACAAATTAGCCGGCATGTGGCGCATGCCTGTAGTCCAGCTACTCGGGAGGCTGAGGCAGTAGATCGCTGAGCCCCGGAGATTGAGGTTGCTGTGGCCAGGCTGACGCCACGCACTTCTCTCTAGCCAGCACAAGTGAGGACTCTGTCTCAAAAAAAAAAAAATACCGATTGAAATGATTTCTTGGTAGTGTCATACTTTCCCTCAAAACAGTAAGTGCTTAGGGATGAGTTCTAACAGATGGCTTTTTACCCATTTTCAGGTTTTCCTTTATGTTAGAAAATGAAAAAAATTTTAACAGATGAGGAGTGACTGTATCAACCCATTTGTTTAAGTGAGCAAAGGCACACTGTCATTGACAAGGTGTCAGTAATTTGTTGCCAATGAGCAACAAAAGTCCTTTAGATATCCATGGTGAGGATGTGCTTCGTCTTAGTTCTTTTTTATATGACTAGTCCTGGGTTTGATTTATTTTATGCTTGCACCACCCATTTTCCAGCCTCACCCTGTGTCCTGTCTCTTTAAACATGGTAACTCACTGCTTGCCTTAGCCTCCCGCTCTTGATCCTCCTCCTTGTGGATCATTCCTCTCATCTCCTTGGTGCTGCTCCTATTATTGGGATCGCATCCACCTCCTTACTACCCTCATAACATGATCCCCTTGGATTACAATTTTTTCATCATAGCACTCTAATTTTGTCCTTCACAACATTACTACATGGGTGTAGTTTTTTTTTTTTTTGAGACAGGTTCGCTGTTGCCAAGGTAGAGTGAGTTCGTGACATCATGCCTAGCTCACGCACTCAAACTCCTGGGCTCAGCGATCCTGTGCCTCAGCCTCGCCGAGTGCTGGGATTCAGGCATGCCGCCACATGCCGCTATATTTTTCTTATTATAGCTGTTGCATTAATTTCTTTCTATTTATAAGTAGATGGTTCGCTGTTGTCAGCTTGGTTTTGCATCCTGACCTCGAGCAATCTGCCCGCCTCGGCCTCCCAGAGTGCTAGGATTACAGGCGTGAGCCACCGCGCCCGGCCCACGGGAATAGTTCTAATTGCATGCCTATGTGCTTAACTATCTGCCTCCCCCACTGCTCTTTCAATCCTCCCCCTCAGCTGGCTTTCAATCACTACTTGGGGATAGAATGAGTATGATAAATAGCATCGCTGAGGAGGCTTGCTTCTCCTTTTTGCTTTATTTCCTATTACCCTAATGATCACATTATTTTTTCTTTAAGAATCATTCAGGTTTATCTCTTCCTCGCCTGGCCAGTGACCACTAGCCTAGTTAAGCCCCTTATACCCCAGACTTCACACAAAGCCTCTGTGGCTTTTCCTCCTCTCTCAGTCCCTCTACTGCTGAGTGGCAGTTCTCCTGTTGGTGACTGTCACCTATTTTTCCTAGTAACTTAGAAACAAGGACATGTCATATGATGTGGGAAATTCATTAACTGAAGCTTCAGCCTTCACAAGCTACTACCGTTGATTTTATTGTCAGCACTAAAAACAGCAAACTATTCTAATGACATAAACATATTAGACTTTAAACCTTTAACTTTCAACTTTCTGTAAATAAACAAAATAAAAATGGAAAAATCCCACACTCACACAAAATGTTAGTAACTAGATAAATATGACTAATTTTTTATATCTTAAGCTTTCAGAACACAAACAGCAAAAGTTGAGAAACCTCAAATCTTGAAGCAAGCCAGTATTTGAAAAGTATGTTAATTCACTTCAAATAGTGGATTTAAAAGATATATTTAGCCAATTCATTAAACTCATTACTCTACCATCACACACATCCCTTCCAGAGGTCCTCTCTCAGGGTTATATCGCTTCCCCCCTCCCTGGGGACATTTGGCAATGTCTTTAAGACACATCTGAATGTGACCATTTTGGGCAGTGCTACTGGTAAGAGGTCAGGGATGCTATTCAACATCTACAGTGCACAGGACAGCCTCCAATAGCAAATGATCCATCCCCAATGTCAACAGTGCCTCAGTGGAGACTCCTGGCAACATCCAGACATGGATGCTACCTTGTATTTCCATGATGGGAATGAGATGTGACAGGTTTGAGGAAGACCATCTGCTGCCTCACTTAATCTTCCGTGTTCAGAGCAGAGCACATACTTGCAAACGCAAACTGGTCAGATCAGCTGGAATTAACTCTGCAATTCTTTTTTTTTTTTTTTTTTTTTGAGACAGAGTCTCACTCTGTTGCCCAGGCTAGAGTGAGTGCTGTGGCATCAGCCTAGCTCACAGCAACCTCAAACTCCTGGGCTCAAGCGATCCTACTGCCTCAGCCTCCCAAGTAGCTGGGACTACAGGCATGTGCCATCATGCCCGGCTAATTTTTTCTATATATATTAGTTGGGCAGTTAATTTCTTTCTATTTATACTAGAGACGGGATCTCGCTGTTGCTCAGGCTGGTTTCGAACTCCTGACCTTAAGCAATCTGCCCACCTTGGCCTCCCAGAGTGCTAGGATTACAGGCGTGAACCACCATGCCTGGGCCTAACTCTGCAATTCTTAACTCTGGACAGAATATTCTGGGACATGAAGCTATTGAATTGCTTGTAAACATTAACATGCAACTTCCAGAAACTTAAGATTTCACAGAAGTAATTTGCGGTCTGTGGATTAAACTTAGTAAAAAGACAATTGCTAACAAGAAACAATAAAGAACAAGTTCCAATATATCTAAAACTGGATATCTCTCTTGTCCAGCTTCTGCATGACATCATTTTAACACTGGTTAAGAAAGAACTCTTCACATTTATTTTAATAGACAAATAGAGAGAACAGCTATTCTCACGGTCCTTAAGGCATATAATCCCACACTCGATTGTCAATGACAGCATATCTTCAAATGCCTAACACACACATAATTGTTACAAAAACAAGTCTTTTTGCTCTTTTTAAGGAAGTGGCATACTCACAGGCTCAGTTGTGGGTTTTGTAAGTGCAGATATAGAGGCTGCAGCATGGCGGGGACCTTAGAATCTGGAACCTTCTCCATTGCGATTTGCATGGAGACACTTGAAGAATAACTCTCAGGCTGTTCACTGCCACCATTGTTTGGCTTGAAATCTTGATCAGTTCCCAAATAACGTGCATGAACCTAATAACCTAGAGGGAGGAGGACAGAGGAGGAAAAGCTGTAAACAGAGACTTAAGATCACATGGAAACCTCTAAGTAGGACAACATTTAGACTAGTAGTACACACCCCAGGTGGCTGGAGGGCAAATGGGAGTCAATAGTTTATCCACTCTTGTTCCCCAGACTCACCGGTCACCTCACGATGACAGACTCATTTGCTTTCCCTCATCTGCTTTGCGCTCCTGCCTGCCTGCCGGCCACAAGGACTTTACTTCTTCCAACTCCTGCCTCCCTCCCACCTGTGCGGATGTGCTTCCTTCCCAGGACCCCTCTCCCTCCATCCATCTGGGTCTGGTGAATTCCCACCCTCCCTCCAGGTGACTGACTCCTTAGTCACTTCCTCAAAGCTCCCCTGACCATGTGCTCAATAGGTCAGCCAGGCACCCTCTTCCTGGCCACAGTGCTTATCACAATGGAATTAAATACCTGACCAGGAATGTCCTTCCTGACACCATCCTCCCCAGCATCTAAGCCGCACGGAGGCAGGGACCGTCTGTCTCTGTCAGAGCTGCATCTATAAGGGACACAGCACCTGGCTCACAATGGGTGTCCAGGGAGTACTAGTCAAATGACCTCAGGAGGCTGCCTTAGTGACAAAAAATATGTTGATCTAATTTCAAGAACCTAGAACTGTGCCATGACTGCCAGCATGTTCTGGGAATGTACTAAGGACCTTTCCTTTTCTCAAATGCCACCATCACCCATTTGTAGGGTTGTTTATACTTTCAAAACACTTTTCAATGCTTATCCTTTAAGAAAAGGGTCTCATATCCCTACCTATAAGATCTGAAAAGACTCTCGAAGTCCTGCCTGTTCTAAAAGAGGAACCTGCCCAAATACAAGCCTCACCTAGTCTCATAGGACTGGGACTCTGCCAGGAAGCATTTTCATTTCAACATTTATTATCATTTCTAGTACTCCAGGAACTGTTTTGGGTGCTGTGGTACAAAGATGACCAAGGCTTGAGATCTACCTTCCAGGTAAATAATTTCTCCTTTTAGGAACTTTTTTTTCTTTTTTTTGAGTCTCCCTCTGTTGCCCTGGATAGAGAGCAGTAGCATCACCGTAGCTCACTGCAACCTCAAACTCCTGAGCTCAAGAGATCCTCTTGCCTCAGGTTCGCAAGTAGCTGGGACTACAGGTGTGTACCACAACACTTGGCTAATTTTTCTATTTTTACTAGAGATGGGGTCTTACTCTTGCTCAGGCTGGTCTTTAACTCCTAAGATGAAGCGATCCTCCTGCCTCACCCCCCAGAGTGCTAAGATTACAGGTGTGAGCTCCCACACCCAACCAGGAACTTCTTTAAATGCACATAGTATGAAAAAGAAAACACAAGAGCAAACCAGTTTACAGCAGGGCATTTTTGCCACCTCAGATTTGGCCTTCTCTTGCCAAAAGATGGGCTCTGAGCAGTATGGCCATGCTGATATGGGTGGGGTGGGCAAAAGGCACAAAAATAGAAGTTGAGGGGCACTAAGGATACATTTCACTTCATAACTTGAACTTTATTTCTTCATACCATCTTTCCAAGAAGACTGTAAGATACAACACCCACATCACAATCCCCAGTGATGCTGAGCAAAGAGGCAACATTGTGCTTTCATCTTCCCTTCTCTGTGCACATCCCTGCTAGTAACTGCCTGTGAACTAGCTCCTCTCCTCTGCACTGCTGTCCTTGACCCTGCTTCATCTAAGCTAGAGGGGAGAAGGCTACACCTAAGTGAAAGGAGAGAAAATTACCTCTGTGTGCATAGTAAAATGAAGCACAGCAGGGCGAGAAGCCAGTCTTCAGGCCCAGTGGCATGTGCTTTGCTTTGCATGTGCATCACTTTGGTGATGTACACTGAACCCAGAGAGGTGGAGATGTGCAGCCATTACATTAAAGAGGACTGGTAGGATGTTAGTGCATCCCAGGGAAGTTCTGTACTTCTGGGCCTAACTCCCTACCTGGCGTCTTTAGGCCAGAGTATTAGTTTGTAATAAAGGACCATAGACTGGGTGTTTTAAAAGAAGTTTATTGTCTCATGGTTCTGGAGGCTAGAAGTCTGAGATCTAAATTGTTTGCAGGATTGGTTCCTTCTGAGGGCTGTAAAGACCTGTTCTAGGCCTCTCTACTTAGACGGCTGGTTAGTTTTATGTGTCAACTTGACTAGGCCATGGTCCCCAGATATTTGGTCAAATACCAGTCTAAATGTCACCATGAAGGTATTTTTTTCTATGAGATTAATATTTAGATCAGTAGACTTTGAATAAAGCAGATTACCTTTCATGTGGATGGGCCTTATCCAATCAGTTATAAGTCATAAGTGAAAAAATACTGAGGTCCCCTGAGGTAGAGTAAATTCTACCTCCAGACTGCCTTTGGATTTGAGCTCTGCTATGCTTTGAATGTGTCCCCCAATGTTCATGTGCTGGAAACTCAATCCCCAATGCAACAGTGTTGAGAAGTGATTAGGTCATGAGGGCTCTGCCCCCATGAATAAATTAATGCCATTATTACAGGAGTTGGTTAGTTATTGGGGGAGTGGGTTCCTGATACAAGGATGAGTTTGGCCCCCTTCCCCTCCCTCCCTCTTGCTCTTGCCCATCTGCCTTCTGCCATGGGATGATGCACAGGAAGCCCCTCAGCAGATACTGATCAGATGCTGGTACCATGCCCTTGGACTTCTCACTCCAAAATCATGAGCCAAATAAATATCTGTTCATCATAAATAACCCAGTGTCAGGTATTCTGTTATAGCAGCACAAAATGGATTAAGACAAGCTGTAACATCAGCTCTTCCCTGGGTCTCTAGCCTGCTGGCCTGCACTGCAGATTTCAGACTTGCCAGCCTCATACGCACATGGGCCAATTCCTTAAAATAAATCTGCTCTTCTATCCCAATCTCTCTCTGCCCCCCATCCCCGTTTCTCTGGAAAACCCTAATGCACCTTGCTTCTGGTAGTTGCTTGGCTTCTTATAATTTTAACTCCAATCTTTATAGGGCATTCTCACCTTGTCTAGCTCCAAATCTCCCCCCTTCATTAAGGACACCAGTCATATTGGACTAGAAGCCAAGCTAATGACCTCATTTTAATTTGATTACCTCTCTAAAGACCCAATCTTCATATAAGGTCACATTCAGAGATACTGGGGCTTAAGACTTAAACACATAAATCTGAGGTATGGTGGTGCACAATTCAACTCATAACACCCAGTAACACCTAAAGTATGTCTGTAGTGCCCATAAAGTGTTGAAAATTCTCAAATCAAAGTTAAAATCACTTTTGTTTAGTTTTATATGTGTTTGTATAAATACATTTGTTAGTGGGAATATGTATGTCAAAATATCCGAGGAGATGAGAAATCACCTTGTTGAAGCCATCTAAAAGTCTAGCTCAGGATTTAAAAGACAGACAGACTGCTAATAAACTTTCAGTACATTACCTTGATAGTATCTAGAGCCATATAAGAGCACCTAGTTTTTAAAGAGCAATAGACCATGGATCACCTGTATCTAGAATGTGATTTTGCTTTTTTCTTCCCCTTGTTATTAGGGCAAACTTATACAAATATGGTGATAACAATATAATAAATCACCTATATATTCAATACTCCATTTCAACAATTATCAATCTGTGGCTGAATGGGCCCTAGGGGAGCTAAACCTTCTGTGCTATATATCCTTTGCTATCACTGATTATTTATGAATGCACTGGTTTTAGCAACATATTCCTTTTCTGTTCTTTTGCAGATTTAGAAATGTGCTGAGGTGGGGGTGGGGAAAGAAAAGATTCTAAAAGCCTTTCCAAATCATTCATAAATCATGTATTAAATGCCTCACAGCTTGAACTCTGCCTGACTAAGCCATTTATACTTATGCAAAAAAGAACCAAAAGTACTAACAAAAGGTTACAATGATATTGAAAAATTCCTTGTCTTCAGAATGACCCTTCATTTTCTCACCTCCTGATTTCCAAAGGAAGCCAGTATTTTGCAACTCCCTGAAATTTAAATTAGATATTATGTTGTCATGTTTTAATATAGATTAGCTTCCTCCTCTAACTCACTTCCCCCCAGGGAGCATGATCTCAATTTGGGAGTGCCAAAAGTTTTAAAATACATTTCTAATACCTGATTTGTGTGTTGCAACTAACTGCCCCAGTGTGGCCAATGAAATGCAATGCAATCCCCTCTTTCCATCAGGTTTTCTTAATATTCATATTCACTCACAATTCACTCAACCTTTATTGTGTTCTATGTGTGAGCAATGGCAGCCTTTTGGTTGGCTCCAGGAAGAACAGGGCAGCTATGACAGGCACAGAGAATGGGATGCCCTTGCTGCTTTTGGCCTTTTGGTGAATGCCAGCCCAGGTACCGATTTCAAAATATCTGAGTAAAGGAGGAAAACCCTACAAAAGTTTTCATTTCCAAAATATTCAAGAACAGTGTAGCTCTTTACTAGGCCCCCGAAGAGAGTGGGTGGAGTGAACTTTGGTTCACTGGGGACTCTGACACAGACTGTGAACAGTGACTGCTCTCAGAGATGTGCCAGGGGCAGCTTCTCTATCAGAGATTTCTGACTATTCACCATATTCCAGCAAGACTTCTCAACAGCAGAGTAGAAATGGCCATATTATCAGTAAAGGAAAAAGGGGAAGTAGAAGGCAATGTGGTTTTCACTGACTAACAGAGAACAAATTCTATACAAATTGAGGTGTAAACATCTTCATTAACTTTTCTCAAACTTTTCCAGCAAAAATAAACGAGAGAGAATTACACTGATATTAAGAGTAACGAGTTTCCAACACCCTCAGAACAGTAACATTTAACGATGAGTGTCATACAGAATCCCAGTCACAAATAACGTTTGTATTTTGAAGGTTCCTCTCTTCCAGCTCTGGGGTGAGGCACAAAAGAGAAAGGACAGAAGAAGGAATTGAGAAGTGAAGAAGGCTCAGATCTGTACAAGGGATACACTATGCTCTTGACCTTCTACCTTGGGGTTGGCTGTGAGTCTGTCTGGCAATAGTCAAGTAGGAAGATCAAAAATGAAGACCCGAGGGAGTCCCAGTTTGCTGCGCCTCAGTTTCTGGAACTGCACTCTCCTCATACCCCAAAGTCTCTGGGACAGCTGTTCTACCTTTAAATGAACACAATCCTAACAGGGTGTTTGGTGACCCACATAGTGGAGGGAAAGGCCTAAAGTGGGGTAGGGGCTATTTTTCGCCCGCTGCCACCCCAATTCCTCAGAGAAGCCCCGCCAAGACCCTAGCCATCCTCGCGAGACGAACAGCTTCTCTAGTTCCGGAGCCGGTAGCGGCGCGTGGTCGTGTGTGCGGGGCGGAGAAGGGAGTAGTTCCTGTTCTCCCTGGCAGGCCACGCCCCGCTGCCGCCCACGCTCCCCGTCACCGCCAGCCCTTACCAGAACTAGTCCCCCGAACCGGAACCTAGTCGCTTGCGCCAGGGACCCGAGGCTCCTGCGCGCGGCCATCTTGGGTACACCCCTTGCGCTTCGTCACGCCCCTACGCCGGAACACGTCATTTCGCTACGCCAGGCCACGCCCCCCGCAGGCTCGGCCACGCTCCCTGTCCCGGATCCCGCACCTGGCCTCCATCCTGCCCCCGCCCCCAGGTGCGCACCTGCTTTCCGCTCTGGCTACATAACAGTGACTGCCTCGGGCCTCCCGCCGTAGCCATGCGCCTGCGCGATAACATGCCCCCTCCTGCTCCACCATCTTTGTCACGCCCCTGAGCGGCAAGGCCACGCCCACACGCACGGGCCGCGCCCCCACGTTCAGGGCTGGTCTCGGCGCTCCGCCTACGTCGTGCTCCTCCTTCCTGTTTCGCGTCGCCCGCCCTCGCAGACGCTATTCCGCGGCCCGCCTCTCCATCTATGGCCACTCCTCCACGCTCCGCCCAGTCCACGACACTGATCACATCCCTGTGATCATCCAGTCACGCGTATGCTGCCCACCCCACTTCCATCCCTTGTGCCCACGTCCCTCCTCTCCACTCTGGTAACTGTCCTGTCCTCCGGCTGGAACCTCTTGTCTTGACCACCTTTGTCACTTCTTTACGAGCAACCACGCCACACCCTTCATGCATAGGCTAAGGTCCACTCGTTCGGATCACGCCTCTGCGATTCGTCTAGGCCACGCCTTTTTCGCTGGGCTTTGCGGCCTGCGCTCCTCCCAGGCGGGGCCATTCCCACGGAGCCAGGCTCCTCCTGATTCGTGTCAGCTACCTTCTTTGCAGTACACACCCCTCCGTTCTGGCCAATCCTGGCGGTCTCCCAGACCGCACGCCACGACCGTAGATCCTCATTGGCCACAGTAATCCTGCGTATGCGCATTTACCCGCGTTACGTACTGGCTGCCCTTCAGGTTCCCAGGCCACCCACTTTCGCTTCGGTTTTGGTCGGGCTCCTCCTACCAGTTCCACGAGTCCTGCACTCCCTCTAGGTTTGGAACCTGGTCTTGGGAAACCACGGAGGAGCTGAAGGGGCCCACAGGTGTCCAGAGATAACCATCCAGGTCCAGAAGCCAGGCGTCAGCGGCACGTTTCTCCCAACTCTAAACACTGCAAGTATTTAAGCAAAAATTGGGTAGGGGAAACAGAACTGGTGGACCAGTGGTACAACACTGTTCCTTCCAGTTAGGTTTCATGTCCTCTAACTCTGATATGGGGACCAACTGAAACCATGTTCCTTCCAGCCTCTAAGCAAACTTTAAATGCTAGGCAGAAGCGTGGAGAAAGCACACTTCTCTACTTCCTGAGGTATCCTGATGACTTTTCCTAGGCACCTGGTGCCCTCATGCTGTTGAGGGCCTGTCTAAACAACACCACACTTAGAGCTCTGCTTTCAGCCCCCTGCTCCAAGATTACTCTTTTTTACTCCATTCACAATTCTGAGTCCACAAGAAAAATATGAGGAGGTTATTACCAGCTTAGTACTTAATACAGCTTCTTTCACAACAAATTCTCAGTAAATTTTCATTGAAAGGATGCCCTTTTGACTTGTGTAGAGAGCTACAATTTTCCCTCCACGGCAGTAAGACTTGCTCCATATAATTCTACATATGCCAGCAATGAAAATTTTATCACATATAAAATGTAAGAGTTCCCTTCTCTCCCCACCTTCCATCCATTTCTACCTTGAAGACAGTGGGAACATTCACAATGTTGAACTAGAGGAAGCACAGTAAAGCACAACTTTTAACAAAACGTTTTTATTCAGCTTACCCTGGCCCTGAGAACTCTATGTCATTTATGTAAAATGTTTTAAATACCAATCATTTTTGTCTGAAAAAACAAACACACAGGAAATTGGACCAAGTACAGCCTGTATAAGTTACTGCGTTGATTTTTATAGCATCAGTTATACTTCACCTTTTTCTGCAAATGATTTGAAGCAGCTTACCAAAATACAGGCAACACTGTATAAAATAAATAGTTTAAGGAACCAGAGGGAAAATTCGTGTAGCCAATGATAAGATTAACACTCGTGTATGCAAATTATCAGATCCAGAACAGTTGTTGAAGGTGGGGAAGAGATTTGACTCTTAAACTTCTGAATGGTCAGAGAAAAGAGGAAATTTCAATTATTTTAAGGTTACACAGTTTCATAAAAACAAATCAGGATTTTGTTTGTTTTTGACAGGCACAGTTTTTCTTTTAGTCCTGAGGGATTATCCAGTTTCCTCCTTATGATGACGCTGTGAGCTAAGTGGGAAATAAGTCATAAGGAGTTACATCCAGATCCCCTCAATGGAAACTGTTGGCATAATCACAAAACACAGGGCACTAAATCAATTTATGAACCATCCAAACTTTCCTGTTCAACTGAGTACACAGGCCCTTAATGGTCTGGCTTAATTTAGGGTAGCACGTAGATTATCTTTCCCCATGATGGCAAGTAAGTTTCAACTCACACATCAATTCTCATTCATTTATATTGGCTGACTGAATGGCTGAGTTGGGAAGTTCTGTGGCTGAGTCCATGCTCAGAAGGAAAAAGTTCTGTAATAGATTAATGGCGTCTGTTGTGAGTGCATGATGGGCAAGTGGCTGCGAATGAAGGAGCTCAAGAAATTTCACCCCAAAATATGACTCACTGGTATAAAGAGTATTTTGAATTAAAGGCTCTTAGAGATCAACAGGCCCTTGGAAGGGGCTTTCCTTCGGTCTGCATAAACAAGATGGACCTTTTAAAAGAACAATCTACTTCCCTTACCTTCCCTGTTATCTCACTGTATTGCAGGAAAGAAGATCAAGAATGCAACCAGACCTGGCCCAAATCATTTAAAATATAATACCTGTCTCTCAAGGTTAATTTAATTTTTGAAGACAATCATTTACAAGTCAGTCTGTTTTCCTCATCCATTCATCATCCTTAGCAACCATTGATTGCCTCAAAACAGAATTACCTATATTCCTTATCTCTCCCTCCCCTCTAAAAGGAGTGTGCAAAAATATCTAGATCCCACTGGGATATTGGGTAACTACTCTGTGATTCTCCCCATGCACATGGGAGAATTCCTCTTATTAATCTGCCTTAATCGTGAGTTGATCTTTCAGTGCTTTTGGGGGAAAGGGGAAGTTTCCCCTTATTCCCACATGAACAACAACCTATCTGGCATCTCTGATTTGTAGTAATAGGGGTCTCTTGGGCACATCTTTTAGGCAGTCCATAAAAACAACATTTCTCATTATAAGGCTTTTGATGAATTTCAGACAGAGGGTTCAAAGTCATCACTGGCCAAAACCTAGGAGCAGAAATTCTGAGATACTGATTAATTAATATATTTTTATATCAACCAGAATGAGGGTAGTTTTAAGATTCTGTTGTGAAAATGAGAGCATATAGTCTAAAAGTTTCATGGCCTGATTCCCCCCTCCCCATCTTTATAGAGGTTGGTAAAGGAAGTATAATATCTATAGTCAGGGCTAAAGGTGATTGGGTGGCCTCTAACCAGCAGCCAAGTAGATGATTAAGGAAGGAAAATACTACTCCATAGAGCATGACTGCAACAATTTTAGCCTACAAAAAAATAATAAAAATAAAAATAAAGAAAAAAAAGAAAAATCATGACTTGCTAAAACCATGAGAAGACTCTTAAACCCGAGAAACAGTGGAAACGGTTAAACATATAGGAAGAAATGTCAGTAAAACTCTTGTTTTTACTACATGGGACTCATTATAATATATGGGTCTCCATGCATAAGATGATACACACAGACCTGCAAACATCCCGTTTAAGAAACTGTCCTTTAAATTCCTTCCTTAGGAACATAAAGTTGGCAGAATTATACTCACTCAGTTTGTCTGAATTAATTTTTATTTCCAAGCAATAGTGATTAACTCTCTGAAGTAGAAAAGTTAACTTGTGAAGAATAAGGCAAAGTTCATAATGTTATGGCTATTGATTAACCTGCAAGTTTTGATGAGCTTTGCAATATCCTAGCTTCATATTTTTTCTCATCTTAAAAAAGGGCATAAGGTATAGGGGTGGAGGTAAAAGTATTCCAAAGCACAGGATTCCTTGTTTATCAAGGATTCTGTGAGTTGTTTTTCTAGGGCTAGGAATGTAAAAAAAAAATATTGCAATATACTTTGTTGTACTTCATTTCCACAGTCCCAAGCTTATAGAACTTCACTTTATGATTCAAATTAGCCAATAATTAAAAAAAATGTTTAAAGACAGGGTCTCACCCATCCTGGAGTGCCATGGCATGATGCTAGCTCACTGCAATCTTAAACAACTGGGTTCAAGCAATCCTCGTGCCTCAGCCTCCCAAGCATTAATAACTGGGACAACAGGTGTGCACCACTGCACTGGGCTAATTTTGAAAATAATTTTTTGTGGAGACACGGGTGTCTCACTATGTTGCCCAGGCTGGACTCAAACTCTTAGCCTCAAGTGATCCTCCCACCTGTTCATCCAAAAGCACTGGGATTATAGGTATGAGCCACTGTGCCCAGCCTCCATTCAGTTGTTTAAAACTATTAAATATTCATGGGCTATGAAAAATGCAAAAATGAACCAAATATAGTCCCTGCCCTCTAGAAACTTAAAATTTTGTAGGACACAAAAGTAAATCATGTTGTCAATAGATGCACATATGAATGTGAACCAAATGCTATGAGAACACAGCAGGAGAGAATAAAAAGTTAGTGGATTTGACAAGTCAATCCTAAAACTCTCCAACAAAAGCAAAAGAAAGGAAAGGATTCTCAGAGGAGGTGATAATCAAGATAGACCTGGAACAATGGCTAAGATCTTTAAAGGTAAAACATGAATGCTCACAGGATTCAAGTTAAAGAAATCAACTGAAAACAAACACACACAAAGGACAGAGATAGGACAGCTCGTGGGGTACTAGCTGGTAGAATGGCTCAGAGGAGGTGAGGAGGCAGTGTCAGTGTAAATGCATCTGAGAAACCAAGTTGGGTTCAGTTCTTACAGGACAAAGAGTTTGGATTCTCAGCCCGGAGTGGTGGCTCACGCCTATGATCCTAGCACTCTGGGAGGCTGAGGCAGGAGGATAGCTTGAGGTCAGGAGTTTGAGACCAGCTCGATTAAGAGCAAGACCCCTATCTCTACTAAAAATAGAAAAAAATTAGCTGGTTAACTAAAAATAGAAACAAAAAATTAGCCGGGCGTGGTGGCGAGTGCCTGTAGTCCCAGCTACTTGAGAGGCCGAGACAGGAGGATTGCTTGAACCCAGGAGTTTGAGGTTACTGTGAGCTAGGCTGACGCCATGGCACTCACTGTAGCAAGGGGTAACAAAGGGAGACTTTGTCTCAAAAAAAAAAAAAAAAAAAAAGAGTTTGGATTCTTGGACTTTGGTCTTTGGCCCTGGGGGGGGGTGTTAATGAAGATTTCACTGTGGAAATGGTTCAGTGTAAATGACAAGGAGAAAAACAATGGAAGGTAGGAAGGGCATTTCTTGATAGTGAGTTTCTAGTAAGCCCTTTACTTACTAATCATGGACGATAGCACTGGCAGCCCATTATGAACCCGGGACTCTCAAACTAGGAAATTATTCTCTCTCATTAGCCGTTTTATTTTTATTTATTTTTACTTTTTTTAAACAAGTTTATTTAAACAACAAGACGCTTGACTTGAAGGGAAAACTATCTAGGATTCATTTTCTTTTTAGAGTAATTTATCACTACTTAAAGACAGATTGCCCTACATGTAACAGCTATGTATAAAACAGTT